CTCCTACTGCTCCTTCCTCTCCTCTTCCTCCTACTGCTCCTTCCTCTCCTCTTCCTCCTGCTGCTCCTTCCTCTCCTCTTCCTCCTACTGCTCCTTCGTCTCCTCTTCCTCCTCCTACTGCTTCTTCCTCTCCTCTTCCTCCTCCTACTGCTCCTTCCTCTCCTCTTCCTCCTCCTGTGTTGTGCAGCTTTGCAGTGGTTGTGTGTCATCGACCTTTCTCTTTTAGCTTGTCAGCATGAAGACGACATCCATTTTGTCCGTGTGTGGTGTGTGTGTGTGCATGTGTGTGCGTGTGTGTGTGTGTGGCGCGTGTGTGTGTGTGTGTGTGTGTGCGCGTGTGTGTGCAGATTCCTGCCTATTAAGCACAACACATTGTGAACAGTGTGTGTTTTGAACCACGCAGGAATAAACCACCTGTGTGTAAAGTAGAGGCCTTAAAGGCGCAGAAACACACCACAAACAAGCACTGCACACACACACACACAATACACGCACACATCAACAACTTTCCCACAGTGGAAAAATGGTTGACCTTCGATAAAGATACATTTAGTATTAAGTGCTTGAATATTACATCACATTAAATACTCATATTACAGAGAGTCTGCTGGAGGCCGAACACACTACCCGTGTGTGTGTGTGTGTGTGTGTCTGTGTGTGTGCATGTGATTCTGTGACACACTAACAGTCAGAGCACGTTTGAGATCACGGGGAAACAGACGTGACGGCGGCGGGCTGCTGCAGCGTCGGCAACGCGACCGGCTTCTATTCATGGTTTTATGATTCAACACTTTCACCGGCCTCCAGGCCCCGCCCCCGCGTGCCCACTGGCCAATCGCCGGACCCGCTCTTTTTTCACGCCTCCATTCGGGCCACTTGACCCGCTTGGTTTTCCACTGCCGCCATCTTGGCATCAGACACCAGCCTGAGGGAATTAGACCTATAGGAGGAGCCGCCCCCTGCTGGTTGGTGGGAGAACGGCGCCTCGAGGCCCTGGCTTCGTTCGGCGGGCCTGGAGACGCGTCCGTCCGCGAGGACTCGCACGCTTTCTATTAACATTCAGCGGTTAAAGGTCACGAACTCAGATCAACAACGACGTTTCTTATTGAAAAAACACGTGTAAAAGTGTGAAAAGCAGCATTGGTGGAGTATTTCTGTGCTCCTCGCGTGGCCCACCTGTGTGCTGTACTGCTGGCGGGCCGGCGGCACGTCGTAGACGTCGTGCTGGCCGGGCGTCTGGTGTCTGGGCGGCACGTCGTACTCGTCCCGGTCCGGTCTGACCGCGTCGTACACGTACACCTGTCCCACGCGGGTCGGGACCACCACCTGGACGCGCAGAGAGAGACCAGATGCTTGAACTTCAAAAAAAATGCACAAATCCGTCCGTGGGCAGTAAAACATCACAGCAGACACACACACACACACACACACAGCAGACACACACACACGCACACACAGCAGACACACACACACACAGGCAACACGGGCACGGCGAGGGGGCCTGATGTTGCCGTGGGAACCGGGCGTCCCCATTGTGTGCCTGTTTAAACTGTGTATTTAAGTCAACCAGCGCGGCCTGGGAAACCAGACGCACACACACACACACACACACACGCACACACACGCACACACAGTGTCCCATCGTCGTCCTCCCCCGCTGGCCCGTCCCGCTCCTTTCCACTTCCTGGTTCAACCGACAGGCGGGCCGGACCGTTGAAACCGCGGGGAGGGGGCGGCGACGGGGGCGCGGCTTTTTAATGACGCTTAAATCAACGTTTGGATGTTTTTTAACGGTTTGATGCGAAGCGCCTTTGTTGTTTGAATGTGCAACGCAAGTAAAATTGCCTCAAGTTGGCGCATTAATCACGACGCGTTGTGAATTATTACACACGGCCCCGTGTCAGATCGATAACCTGTGTTATTGATCGCCTGTCGGTCGGCCCTCTAGTGGTTGATGACTGACACCAAGTGATCGGTGTGTGTGTGTGTGCGTCTGTGTGTTACGTCTAGTTACAGAGCAACGGGTCAATGGTCCCCACCCCTGAATGAAGCGTGTGTTGCTATGGTGACGGTCGCCCTCGTTAACCAATGACATCATTTAACGGCACAGTGTGTTTGAGGCGTGACGTGTTTCTCTGCTTCAGCTGGATTTAATATCTCGTCTCCGTCGTCGAGCAGTAAGAGAATAGACGGAAGATAGATATACATATATATATATACCATAAAGGTATTTATATATATACCATAAAGGTATTTATATATATACCATAAAGGTATTTATATATATATATATATACCATAAAGGTATTTATATATATATATATATATATATATATATATATACACACCAGGTTTAAACAGACGCACAACTAAACACCAGTGGGACCAAAACAAAAACAACTTCAGCCTCTGCGTGTGTGTGTGTGTGTGTGTGTGTGTGTGTGTGTGTGTGTGTGTGTGTGTGTGTGTGTGTGTGTGCGTGTCAGGCAGCCGCGCTGACTTCATTAGTCTCCAGCTGATCTCTCAGCATGCGGTGCTGCAGGACGGAGACACACAAACGCACATCATGTATCTAACAAATTCCACTTGCATTAAAACATTCATCGCCTTGTTTACATCATTCATGTTTCTTTCTCATGAAACGTGTTCCATGAAACGTGTTCCTCTCTCCTCGTATGTGGAACAAACAGCTGGTGATCGATGGTACGTCTTCATTTAGTTTATTAATAAGAGATTATGTGAATGACAGATGTTTGTATTTAGCAACACAACCTCTAATGATACACAGAACGCTGTGTCAGCACCAATGTGACGTTTCAGTGATCACTGATGGTCTTCAGCTGTTCCTCTGTGTGTGTGTGTGTGTTAAGTTGGTCACACACACACACACACACACACAGTGTGACACCTGTCGGCACAGTAAAGTGCTTACTCACCGAACCACAAGATCAGAGCTGAATTATTAACAATCTTATTATTTGACTGGTCCTCCTCACACACACACACACACACACACACACACAGACAGACACACACACAGACAGACACACAATGCCTGCTCTTTATTTTGCCCGTGCCTCCCCCCGGCAGGGCGCTGTGATGTCGAGTGTGAAGGCTTAAACCCATTAAGGGAAACGCCGCCGTGGGATTTCCAGCATTTTCATTTTTTTTTAACTTTCTTTTTCTGCGGCGTGTTAGAAATTATTTAAATGGCCGCTTTCGTTTCCCTCCCCCCCCCCTCCACTCCCCCCTCCTCCCCCCCCGTGGGGACGATGTGATAATCTCACCGGTCTTTTTGAGCGTCAGTCACGCACGCTGCGAGTGAACAACCTTCAGGATGAGCGACGGCGGATTAAACAGCCACACGTTGAGGCCGCAGTCGGTAACTTTAATAAAAAACACCTTCAATCACGAACATCTTCAGCGCTTGGTGAGAAACGCGGCGGCCGGACCGATCACTCATTTTACGGCTGAAGAGTTTGTTTGATTGACAGCTGTGTTAGAGACTCCTTTTCAGCGACGAAGTCATGACAGAAGAGGCCGACCCTCGACTTCTGGATTGCACCAAAAGAAGAGACACGCGTGCACCAGAACGCCGTAACAATGGCAGGAAGTGTGCGCGCGCGTTCGTGACACACAAACATCCACATCTCGACCTCCTCCGTCCTTCCTTACCTTGCCCAGCGCTTTGTTGCCGCTTTCCCAGTTCCTCTTATCCAGGGAGGGGGGCACCTGGTACACATCCTGCCCACCTCCGGTCCCCCCGGCCGGGCCCGGCGCTGGGCCGACAGAGGGGGGCACCTGGTAGACGTCCCGCCCCGGCGGCTGGTACTGTCTCCGGGCCAGAAGAGGCGCCTTCAGGGGGGGTCCCGGGGGGAGTCCGCTGGGGCCCGAGGGGATCTGGTACACACTTTGTGGACTGGTTTTGGGCCCGTGGGAGGGGGGCATCATGTAGATGGAGTCGGCGTTGGGCTTGCGCCGGGTGCATGGACGTGTACTGTGCCGAGTGCAGCGGCTTGGCGGGAAAACCGCCGGCCGGCCCCGGAGACGGCGCCGGCTTGGCGTAGGCGCTCGGCGGGGGGAGGGGCCGCTGCTGCGTCTGGGAGGAGGGACAGGAAGCGGCGGGCTCCGGCGGGGGAGGCGTGGCCTGCTGCTGCTGCTTGCCGTCGTACATGCCGACCAGGATCTTGAGGCGGTTGCCGGGGACGATGCCCTGGCGCCCGTGGAGGGAGCAGAGCCACCAGCCGTCCAGGCCCTGCGTGTCCCGCTCCAACACGGTCATGATGTCCCCTTTGCGGAAGGACAGCTCGTCCGGGGACTCGGCCACGTTGTCGTACAGCGCCTTGGCCAGCACGTTCTGCAGAGGGGGGGGGGGGGGCGTAAACACATGAGAGGCGTCGTATACAGAGACAGTTACCACGGTTACAATGAACTTACACTGAACACACAATGTGACCGAGTTATGAGACTATAGACCGACTAGAAGAACATCACGCTGCCACTAAAAACCAGAGATGGAGAACATTAACTAATGTTTACTGAGGGAATTATTGACTCATAGACTTACTAGAACTACACAACCGGGAGTCGCCCCAATTTACAGTTTTCAACTGTAAAATACGTATAAAGAGAGAAGAGATTGTGGTCGTGATTACAGGAAACCGATGCCGACTGGTAGGAAATAGGATCTTTGTTTTTACATGTTCTGTTCCGTCTCAGAAGCTTTAACACTTATTTTCCAAGCGTCTCCCTGAAGCCGCCGTCGACTCTTCAGTGAAAGCCAGCAGACGATAAACTGTCTCTCTTGAGAGAGAAGCTGTGCACACCGGGACGGCGTCCACGTTCTGATTCGCTGTTTAACGACGCGCTGCAACACGTGATCGAGCATCGCGTATTCATTGGTGGAGATAAATATGTGTGGTTCTGCAACATGCAGCGAGCCGACTGCGGGATTTAAACCTTCATATCATTGGGAGGGGGGGCGGGTAACGATGACCGGCAGGTTGGGCAAACACACACATGTACCCCCCCCCCCCCCCCTCAGTCGTCCTGGAACTCTTTGAAACTAAACCAATATTTGTCGTCCACGTCTGAGCGGCTGCAGTCTGAGAACCGGCACAGACTAGTACAGCCTGAACTGGCCATGTGCCATGCACACGCACACCCACACACGCACGCACGCTGAGCACAAAGCACCGGCCACGTCTAAATGAGGCCGTTTAATTGGCTTCGGGATTTACGGCCCGTTGGCCGGCGGCGAGACGCAGACGGACACTCGGCCCCGACGTGCTCGCCTCAGCAGATTCCCCCCTCGCCGGTCGCGCTCAAGAGTTCCCCTTTGAAAGCGAATGAGAACAAATAGGTGGCAGCCATAGGCCGGCTGGACTCTAAGCCCCGCCTCCCGTCAGAGGGCACCGCCTCTCGCTGCGTGTTTGTGCTTTCGAAGGGGGTCCAGAATGTGCTGATGTCCGCATCCCTATCCAGATGTTTCACTTTTCCAAACAAACAAACACTCATTCTGCATCGAAAGTGGGTGTCAAGATCCAAACGACCCAACGAACAAATGAACATGAACAAATCCCCGTCACCTTTCCAAGAGCGTCATCGCCGTGGCAACCGGCTAAGAGCGAACTTTCGACGCGATTTAAAACACCTTTTACACATTTCCCCCTCCATGGGCCTGTGAGGAGTTCTTTGTCCTCGCCGTCCCTTCGGGCAGCCGGGTCACCCTGACCTCAGACACCACGCCGCATGTCAGGCGCCGCGCTGCTCGCCCTCTTTCAGACGTTGCACAGCACTGAAGTCCCATTCCAGCGTCCAGAGAAACAGGAAGTGCGGCGGTGGAGATGAATCACACACCCCCCCCCCGATGGGCCTGGGAATCACCCGTCCTCGTCTATTTGCGTCTGGCGTGGGCGGCCTGAGGGACACAGCTTCTCTTACTGCTCTTTAGCATATCTCAGATTGGCCGCGGTTTCAGTTCTTTCCACGGCGGTCGCGATGGGGAACGTTTCCCAAGGACCCGTGTTGGATCACTTCCAGCGTCCCGGAGCTCGGAAGACCTCAAGGACTCGTAAACGTAGCGGCTGACATTTGAGCTCCCACTTGGTGTTTAAGTCAAAAGGATGCTGACACGTGACGATGACGATGCAGATTTGTAAAGAGTCAAAGTTCACGTTTGTTGATGTCAGCGTGCCGACGGCGAGCAGGCGGCTCTTAAAACGCTAAGTGATTAGCATGCTAAAGCTGCAGCGGCTCCCATGTACTTATACGTGAGCATGTACTTATACCTACATGTACTTATACCTACATGTACTTATACGTGAGCATGTACTTATACCTACATGTACTTATACGTGAGCATGTACTTATACCTACATGTACTTATACGTGAGCATGTACTTATACCTACATCTACTTATACGTGAGCATGTACTCATACCTACATGTACTTATACCTGAGCATGTACTTATACCTACATGTACTTATACCTGAGCATGTACTTATACGTGAGCACGTATTTATACCTACATGTACTTATACCTACATGTACTTTAACGTGAGCATGTACTTATACCTACATGTACTTATACGTGAGCATGTACTCATACCTACATGTACTTATACCTGAGCATGTACTTATATGTGAGCATGTACTTATACCTGAGCATGTACTTATATGTGAGCATGTACTTATACCTACATGTACTTATATCTACATGTCCTTATACCTACATATACTTATACGTGAGCATGTACTTATACCTACATGTACTTATACCTGAGCATGTACTTATACGTGAGCATGTATTTATACCTACATGTACTTATACCTACATGTACTTATACGTGAGCATGTACTTATACCTACATGTACTTATACGTGAGCATGTACTCATACCTACATGTACTTATACCTGAGCATGTACTTATATGTGAGCATGTACTTATACCTGAGCATGTACTTATATGTGAGCATGTACTTATACCATCATGTACTTACATCTACATGTACTTATACCTACATATACTTATACGTGAGCATGTACTTATACCTACATGTACTTATACCTGAGCATGTACTTATACGTGAGCATGTACTTATATCTACATGTACTTATACCTACATATACTTATACGTGAGCATGTACTTATACCTACATGTACTTATACCTGAGCATGTACTTATACCTACATGTACTTATATCTACATGTACTTATACCTACATATACTTATACGTGAGCATGTACTTATACCTACATGTACTTATACCTGAGCATGTACTTATACGTGAGCATGTACTTATATCTACATGTACTTATACCTGAGCATGTACTTATACCTACATGTACTTATACGTGAGCATGTACTTTAACGTGAGCATGTACTTATACCTACATGTACTTATACGTGAGCATGTACTCATACCTACATGTACTTATACCTGAGCATGTACTTATATGTGAGCATGTACTTATACCTGAGCATGTACTTATAT